TTCTCATATTACTGATGTCAGTGCATTGGATTAGTCCTCTTTTTAGTTTACTTTACAATCTAGTGATCAATACTTTGTCTGTTTTTTAAAAGTGAACTTTAGAGTTGGTGGTTTTCTTTCCAGTGGTTTTGGAGTCCCACATTCCCCTGCTCTGTGTCCTGGGTAACCTTCACATCCCTAATCCCTTCCTACTTTGTCCCACCACACTGATCTTCCTGCATGAATGTGGGAAGGTCTGTATCTGGCCACCTGTACCTTGTTTGTGTCTCTTTATTACGACCTTGACATGCCCCCCACACCTCTCATCTTTGTATTGTCATGTACACATGTCATGTACATGGGATGTAACCCACAACAAGTGTCCTGTCACCTTCTTGTGAGTCTAGTGGCACTCCTTTTTCTCAGCTGCTTTGTCCTCTTTTGTCTGCATCATGCTCAGACTGTATGTTTCCTCTTCTGCTTTGGAGAAGGCGCAGTCTCACCTCCAGTCTTTCTTTGTTGGCCTCAGTTCTCTTTCCTGCAGAAGACACACAGCCAGGTTCCACACATGTGCCCTCTGTGTAGAGGACCCACATACAGCTCTTCACTCACACTTACTTTTTTCCCTGAAACCAGGCCAATTGCTCAGTGTTCACCATTACAGGCAGATACTCGATGCAAAAGGAAAAAAAAAAATGAAAAAAGACAATGGAAAACAATAAGAGCAACTAGCCAATCAGGATAATGTCCCTTTTCTTTGCATACAATCAGCTCCAGCTGTCGGCCTTTTATCTTGAGAGTTCATAGGATAATGAACACACATAATTAACCCAAACAAATTCACTTTTGTGAAAAACGTTTTGAAGACTTCAGCACAAAAGAGCACTTTTTGGTCCAAATCTCGTACTATTCTGAATTTTTAAAAAGACCACACAGAAGCCTCATCAGCAGTACCCTAATTAAACTCATCAGTTCACAGATGTTTACAGGAAAATGATCAGCGAAATATTTCACCAAGAAATCCTGTTCCTTAGGAAGAGGAATGGATAATAACAATAGTAATAGTGGTAAGAGCTGGTATTAATGAAGTACTTTACTGTGCCTGCCATTTTCCAATGACCAGCAGTTTAAATCAACAACCTTTTGAGGTGGTAACTGTAATCAGTCCTAATTTACAGATGTCAAAACTGAGGTTTAGAAGGCTAACTAAGTTTCCCAAGGACACACAACTAGGAATTACCAGGTCCAGGGCCCAAGTCTCAGTATGTGTGACTCAAAACCATGTGTTCTTAAGCAATACATTTGTAGCCAGACTCATAATACCACCTGTTCTATGACTAAAATTTATATAAATTTGTCACTTTTTCAATTGTTAAATAAAAGCTGACTGAATTACCACTTTTTTTTTTTTTAAGGTTTTTGCCATAAGGGTGTATACGCTTGCCAGAGAGAGAGAATCACTCCCCATGGTAAATGGTAATGCCTCATCCCTTCTCCTCCATTCTCCTGGGATTTGGGGCATGCACACACATGCACCCAGCATAATTTTTAAGTCACCAGTTCCGGGACTTGAACTGTGGTCAGCCATATGGGAGTCTAGCACCTTAACATGCCACTTGCTGGCCC